GCCATGTGTTGTGTTGTATTGGTTGTTACAATGAGGCGGAAGGGGAAGCCCCATCGGTATTTGATCCCTGCTTGTTGGAGACGCTGGGTGCATGGGCGCAAGCTTTTCCTTCGGTTTAGGGTATCCTGAGATAAGTCCTGTAAGGCCAGTATGGGGATTTCTCCATATCGAAGGTTGGTTGAGTTTCTGAGGTGGTACCATACCTCTTCCTTCTTTTTGTAGCGTGTGAAGCATACAATGATGTCTCTTGGGGGGGCGCTGGGTTTTGGCATAGGTTTTAGGGCTCTGTGAGCCCTCTCCAAGTCATCTGCCTCAAGTTTCAGGCTTGGGATTGTGTTTTTCAGCCAGCGTATAATTAGGTCTGCTGGGCTTTTCTCCTCTGTTTTTCAGGAAAGTTGCGGAAGCGGATGTTACAACGTCTATTGCGGTCTTCAAGGTCGGCTTGCTTAATTTTCATCTCTCTGTGTTCTGCTTCAATTTGGTTTACCAGTTCGTCCAGTTTCTTGTTCACACGTGCGTTCTCCTCCCGGTATTGCTCTATTATTCTTTCTTGCATTTGGTTCTTGTTCTCTAGAGCTTCCACTTTGGAGGTTAGGTTGTTGATTAGTACCTGCATGGGAGCCATTGTGGCCTTCAGTGTTTCTTCTAATCGTGCTTCTAATCTTGCTTCCATTTCCCTCAAATCTCGTTTCGTTATTGGGTGGTCATCATCTTGAAGGGGAGTTACCGTCTTAGCATTGTTTGTCATCTCCCTGGTTGGTGTCATCTCAGTCTCCCTGATGGTTTTGGTTTGAGGTTGGCTTGGCGTCCTCTTGGAGTAGGGCGTGTGGTGGTTAGGAGTTGTGGCAGTGGTGATTCCTGGGTATTGTTGGGTTGCTGAGCTGATCAGGCGTTCTTTCTTGGTGGCTTAAACAGAGCGTTTGAATTAGGTGGTCATTTGTGTCACTTCTAGCCTGTGTTTTGAGAACTTCTCTAGGGTTTCTGTAGTTGCCTCAGCGGTGCCGCCAAAGCGGGGGGCAGGTAAGCAGAGATGGGTAGACTAACGGGCAGACAGTTCATATAAAGGGGGGGGTTAGCAGGTAGAGATGCAAAAGATTAGAGGGGTGGGGCCAGGGGAATATGTGTTTAGGAGGGGGTTGTATATACCCAAAAGGGGTACTGGGGTCCAGCTAAGGTGGGAGTTGGGGTTGGGAGTGCGCTCAGAAACAGAGACAGACAAATAGGCTCTATGTAAAGGGTGGAGGGAGAAAAAGGGAAGAAGAAGAAAGAAAGAAGAAGGGGGGAGGTGGGGGAGAGGGGAGATTGGAGTAAAAGAGAAGAGAGAGAGAGACAAAAAGAGAGTTGAAATAGAGAGGAGAGATAGTACAGTAATATCAGCGGTATTAGATTGCAGCAGTAGTTTTAGCTATAGTATGAGGGGGGCAAAGTATGATATGGTGATATGGATGTGTGTGTGTGTTTCCTTTAGGGGAAGGGGGGATGGAGAGAGGGAGGAGGGAGAGAAAAGGAGAGGAGGAGGGGGAAGGGTGGGGAAAGGAAGGAGAAGAAAAGAGGGGTGAGGGAGGGAGGGTGAGCTGTGGCAATGGTATGGGGAAAAGTCTTATTGTAAAAGAGGGGTGGGGAGAAAGGGCTCCCCCCTCAGAAACAAACTGACAAACAGGCTAAAAGGGGGGGGGTTGATTTTAAAAAATAAAGGGGATAGAAAACAATGTTGGGGATGGAAGGGTGGGATAATAGGAAAAAATAAGGAAGGGTGGAGAGAGAGGAGAGCAAAAAGGGGGGGAAGGGGTTAAAAGAAAAGGATTAACAAAACAAACAAACAAAAAAACAAACAAAAAAAAAAGAAGGAAAAAGAAGGGGTAGTTTCTTCCTTTCTGCGATCTCCTTTGTTATGCGGCTTTCCTGTTTTCCTTGCCGCTGGAGCTCCGGTCGGGCTCAGCCACGTGTTTTTTCGGAGCCTCTTTTGCCTTCCCTACCTCTCCTCTTCTTTCCCGTCGGCAGAGATGGGGGCAGCAGCGGTAAAGTTGGGGCTCCTTTTGCTTTTTCTTCTTTTTCTTCCTCTCTCCCCCTTTCTTTCTCCCTCTTTGCGTTAGCTCCACTGTCCTCCTGGTTTTGGAGCTCCTCTCGGCTGTTGGGGGGGTGGTCGGGTGCCTTTCCGGCTCAATCAAGGTCGTGGGGGGGTGTTTTGGCTCCTTTGATAGAGGCCCCGGGCACCCCCCGATTCCTCTCCGCTGGCAGTGCTGGCGGCAGCAGTCCTGGGAGCCCGGGAGTCGGCCAGACAGAGCCTTTTACTCTGGCTGGCTTCAGGAGCTCTTTTCTGCTGTTGCAGCCGCCATGCTGCCTTGCCGGAACTCTCCTTGCACTCAATCAATTGATGATTATTGATTTAAGTATAAAGCAACATAATAATAACTTCAAAATTACAGCTCCAATCCTTTAACCAAAATAATAATTCTAAGAAAGGGTTTCATTCATATTGTCCAAAATTCTGATTGTAATTCAGATTCCCCACAATCAGAAAGGAGGACTGTGCATATCCACCTGTTTATTTCGCAGGCATGCTTGCTTTTCTGGCTTTGGTGTTGGTGTTTATTGTTCTCTTCACCACTTCTTTTTGTCTATGAATGATATATTACATTTATATTCTGCCTTTTCTCCTAGGAGCTAAAGCTGGTTCAAGCGCCTCCCCTCTTTGTTCTCACAACAACCCTGTAAGTTGGCTAGGCAGAGAGCTGGTGACTGGCCTAAAAGCAGTGGGAAAAATCAACAAGTTTAATGAGTTTAAAAGGAGAAGCTGCACATGATCAGAGGTTTAATTATTATTGACCATGTTTGGCATTTTATTTTATTTTTGCTTGAAAACCACAAGTGGCGTATTACAGTCAAAGCATGGAATGCAGGGAGAAGAATGCCTGCTTTCATGGCTTCATATATATTTTTAATATGTCTCTAAGCTGAGTCTTCCATTTCCTCTTTTGGGGAGAGAAATCGAGCAGGGGCCAGAGTGCTGCCATTGCAATACTGGCCACATGACCCGGAAAGCTGTCTGTGGACAAGCGCCAGCTCCCTTGGCCTGAAAGTGAGATGAGTGCCACACCCCATAGTCGCCTTTGACTGGACTTAACTGTCCAGGGGTCCTTTACCTTTACCTTTTACTTTACTCTTAAATCTCCTTCGCATGTTAAAACTCTTTAAACACAAACTGATTTTTGTGATCAATTAATTACGACTGAATCTTTACTTTTTCCACTGGTTCAAGCAAATGAAGTTTACTTCACATGAAAAGAAATGCACACAATAATAATGTCCACAATCTGAACGTGCTCTGGCAGCTATGCGTTTGACAGTAAAGGAGCTGCTGCACACATTCAGGGAGCTGCTTTGTTGAAGTTGACTGAAACTTCCAACAAAGAGCTCTGAATAAGCACTCTGCCTGAAGGAACTTGTAGATTTTCAGAGGAACATAAAAATATGAGCTCTGTCTCCGAGTGAAGCATCACTGGAGGATGAAAGGGGAGGAAGATGTATAGAGCAGAAAGACAATAGGAAATACGGGCAATATTTGGAAAACACACCTCACCTACTTTGTGTTTATTTTTTTTAGCTACAGTATTTATAAGCAGCCCTATAGCAAGGTTCTCAGGGTGGCTCACAACAAGAAACAAAGAACTAAAATATTAATTATTTTATTTAAAAAAATAACTATAGTCTAAAAACTGTTGCAGAAATAATAATAAAAAAACAGTTTAAGGCTAAATCATGTTAAAAGACCTGGGAAAACAGATAAGTTTTTTCTTGGTGCTGAAGACACCAAAATAGGCACCAGGCAAGCCTTCTTGAGAGGGAATTTTGCAGCCAGGGTTCTAGAACTGAAAAGTCTAGAAGGGGTGGCACTTAGAGACAGGCCTCCAAAGAAGATATAAATGAATTGAGCAAAGTGACCCCTCAGGCACTCATGTCAAGAAGGGCCTTAAAGGTCAAATGCAGCACCTTGAATGGGACCCTAAAAGGATCTGGAAGCTGGTGAAGATAAAACACTGGCAAGATGGGTTCAGTCAAAAATAACAGCCTTGTACCTTTATTCTGAACTTAAGAGAAATTTCTTGATTGTTTCAAAGGTTGTCCCAAGCAAAACACATTAGTGTATAGCAAATGGGAGGTTACCAGATTATGGATAACTGAAACAATGCTGTATTATACATGATGTAACCTTTTAAGAGATGCTCTGAGCCGCAGGAGATCAACAAACATTCCCCATCCCAGTCTACAACCAGATCTTCTAAAAAGGCTTTTACTGGGGTGGGCAAACCACCTCACACCATCTCTATGAATGACATTTGTCTTGTTTCATGAATATATCTAGAAGCACTGCAGATAAAATAAAATCATGCCGTATCTCAAGCCATAACAGCTAAGGAATCAACCAGAAATCCCACAGCACCATGTTCTGGAATTGGTCTTCAAGGTACGAATGAAATGATTGGAAAGCAGTATCCTCAGCACCCAGCTTAGGCAGTTTCTCAAAAGGAAACCATGGTTTATGCCTAGCATGGGAAACCCTTGACCTGTGGGCTGGTACTCGATTTTATCCAGATCAGATCTATAGAAACACACTTTTTCCTAAAAAATAAAATAAAATAAAATAAGTTCTGGCAGGATTAGGATGCCCATATTGCTCTCTCTGTTGGGAGTCAAAATATAACCAAATCACATTTTACAATGGCATTAACTTTTCACCTACAAGGGAGCAGCCAGTGTCTGCTAGCTCCATCAAACACTATTCTGCTACTAGGATAGCCCTGGAAGAGGTTGGGCCTACAAACTCAATAGCTCGTCCGATTAATTTCTGCCCTGCCATATTCCAAGGATAACATCACCACAATTTGTGATACCTAAGATCTTATGTAGTACATTGCAAATACAGATAGTGAGGGAGGAAAGGGGAATGCTGACTTGAGCAAAGGGCCCAACACCTAGCTCCAGACTATGTTTGTATTACTCATTTCTTTGGCTCAGTCAGTAGAGCATGAGACTTTTAATCTCAGGGTCATAAGTTCAAGTCCCACATAAATGTGGAAAACTGCTATCCTGGCAGTTGAAGAGAAGACAAAGATTAAACACGGTTACAAATTTAGAGGTTGATGGAAGAAACATTCAGAATCCAGTGGACATTAGAAAGTGTTTCCAGAGATATTTTAAAAATTATATACCCAAGGGTCGCAAGACGAAGTTGAGATTAAACAATTTTTGCCAAAAATGGATTATCTAAACTGTCACAAGAAAATAGGACAATCCTGAACTCTAAAATAACACGACAGGAGATTGAACAAGCTATTCAGAACATGCAACTTGGCAAATCTCCAGGGCCAGACGGGCTGACCTCCAAGTATTACAAGACACTAAAAGACTATTTGATACAACCTTTGATGGAGGTTAGCAATGAAATTATGGAGGGGAGGAGGGCACCGGATTCGTGGAAGGAAGCGTTTATCACATTGATACCAAAGTCAGAAACTGAAAAGACACAACTGAAGAACTACCGTCCCATCTCCCTTTTAAATGTGGATTACAAAATATTTGCAGATATTTTGGCAAGTAGATTCAAAAAAAGTTTTAAATGAAGTAATTCATAAGGACCAGGCCGGTTTTCTCCCAGGTAGACATTTGTTTGCTAACACAAGGAACATTATTGATATTTTGGAACTTCTCCAAACTGACATAAATACAAAAGCTGTTTTAATTTTTATAGATGCGGAGAAGGCCTTTGATAACATTTCTTGGAAATTTATGATGGGAAACTTAAAAGAGATGGGAGTGGGACGGGGTTTTGAGAATGGGATTGAGGCGATATATTCAGAACAGAAAGCAAAACTGATAGTTAATAATGTGGTTACAGAAGAGTTCAAAATTGAAAAAGGGACACGACAAGGTTGCCCTATTTCCCCTTTGTTATTTATTTCGGTCCTGGAAGTGCTATTGAACATGATTAGAGGGGACCAGCTGGTGGAAGGAATTCAGGTTGGTCAGAAACAATATAAATTAAAAGCTTTTGCAGATGACCTGGTTTTGACCTTGCAGAAGCCAGAGCCTAGTACGAAAAGAGTATTACAATTGATTAATGATTTTGGTCGGGTGGCGGGATTTAAATTAAACAAACAGAAAACTAAGGTTTTGGGGAAAAATCTGACTGAGACAGAGTCAGAACGGTTTCAGAATGAGACGGAACTTAATGTGGTTAAAAAGTAAAATACCTAGGGGTAAACATAACAGCAAAAAATCTAAGTCTATTTAAGGATAATTATGAAAAATGTTGGACAGAAATTAAGAGAGACTTAGACAGTTGGTCAAAATTGAAACTTTCTTTGTTAGGCCGAATTGCTGCGATTAAGATGAATGTATTGCCAAGAATGTTGTTTTTATTTCAAACACTGCAGGTATTGGACAAAATGGAGTGCTTTCAGAAGTGGCAGAGAGACATTTCGAAGTTTGTCTGGCAGGGCAAAAAGCCCAGAATTAAGTTTAAGATACTAACCGATGCAAAACAAAGAGGGGCTTTGCCCTGCCGGACTTAAAGTTGTACTATGAAGCCGCAGCGTTCTGCTGGCTAAAAGACTGGCTACTTCTTGAAGACACTGATGTGTTAGATTTGGAGGGGTTTAACAATGTTTTTGGATGGCATGCATATTTATGGTATGACAAAGTTAAAGCAAATAAGGCCTTTAAGAACCATATTGTTAGAAAATCACTGTTTAATGTCTGGACAAAATATAAAGACTTGCTGGAAAATAAAACACCAAGGTGGCTTTCACCTTTGGAAGCTAAGGCCGAAAAGACCCAATATGGAGGCCAAATGGCCAAAATATTGGGAAATACTAGAAAAGATGGAGACAATTGGAAATTGCAGAGCTTGGAGAAAATGAAAGACAAAGTGCGAGATTGGTTACACTATGCTCAGATTAAAGAAGTTTTTAAAAGTGATAAGAAACTAGGGTTCCAGGTGGAGAAATCGAAATTAGAAACAGAATTGTTAGAACCAAAGACTAAGATACTTTCAAGGATGTATAACTTGCTGTTGGAATGGAATACACAAGATGAAATGGTTAAATCGGCTATGATAAGGTGGGCACAGGATATTGGGTATAATATTATGTTTGAGGACTGGGAAAGGCTGTGGAGTAATGGATTGAAATTTACTGCATGTAATGCTTTGAAAGAAAATGTAATGAAAATGATTTATAGATGGTATATGACCCCAGTCAAACTTGCAAAAATTTACCACCTGTCTGATAACAAGTGCTGGAAATGCAAAGAGTGTGAAGGAACGTTCTTTCACCTCTGGTGGACATGCCCTAAAGTGAAGGCGTTCTGGGAAATGATTTATAATGAATTGAAAAAGGTATTTAAATATACTTTCACTAAGAAACCAGAGGCCTTCCTTTTGGGTATTGTCAGCCAAGGGGTGGCAAAGAAGGACCAGACATTTTTATGTATGCAACAACAGCAGCAAGGATACTACTCGCAAAACATTGGAAAACCCAAGATCTACCCACACTGGAAGAATGGCAGATGCAACTGATAGACTATATGCAACTGGCTGAAATGACTGGCAGAATCCGTGACCTGGGAGAAGAGAGAATCGAGGAGGATTGGAAGAAATTTAAGAACTACCTACAAAAACATTGTGATTTGATTGAATGCTGAATAAGATGCTGGACTAAATAACTGAGCACCACTTAACTTAGAAATTTTTAAGGAAACAAGAAAAATTGTGAAAGTTTAACTCTTTATGAGAACTTTAAGATTATGAAATATCGAAGAGATATAAGAATTTAAATAAGATGATAAATTGCTGACAAAATGTTATAATGATGAAGGTGGGAGCGGGAGATGTGAGGAAGTCCAAAGAAAATGTGAAATTATGTTAAGACGAATGCTATATTGTTTACTACATTTATTTCTATTGTAAAACCCAATAAATTGCTTTAAAAAAAAAAAAAAGTTCAAGTCCCACATCGAGCAAAAGATTCCTACATTGCAGGGGGTCGGACTAGATGACCCTCATGGTCCCTTCCAACTCTATAATTCTATTATCTTCCCTCTGCAAGCATTTAAGGTGCAGTGCCTGTCCAGGGGTGGTAGCTTATGGATTGCAGCCTGGGGTTTGTCTTCAGACCTAGGAAGCCACTAAAGAAGCATCCTCATTATACATCTGAACGCAGTTCTCAGAGTACTTGGATGTATGAAGATTGTGTTGTTTGAATGCTAATTTTGTGTGCAAATAACATTGTGTGGGTGGAGGAAGGGATCTTTGGAAATGCAGACAGATACAGTAGTGACTTGTCTAATGTTATCCACTCTATTTACAAGATGCAGCAACTGTAAAGACACTGATATGTAAGTCTTGCATCCTATGAAGGTTAGCATTCCAAGATAGAAGTTGCTCATTCACAAATAATGTATCACACATATGGTTTCTTTGTACTATTTGTTAACAGTGTGGGAAAGCTTTTCCTCATTCTAATTTCTTTACTACTACTGTAATTGGACCAACAAGCTAGTTCTGTGACATACTGAAACATGGGTGTTTTTTTTTTGTAAATGTAAATAGTTTGATGGTATTTTTTACCATACTCATGGGAAAATAGCTTTCCCAATCTCATTGATGTAGATGTGCCAATTTATAAGAGTATAAAATTCTGAGTCTCTTCCTAAGCATCAATTATAACTTACACAGCTCCCTGAACAGCATTTAAAACACAAAGAACGGAAAACAATATTCTGTTTGCTGACAGCACAGAAAACTAGCTAACAGCTTCAGAAGTTGGTTTGCTATTAAATACTGTAAATATCCATCCCCCACAGGCCTGGTTGGTTCAGGAAACTGTCCCAGCTCTGTGCTTTTCAATCAAGTGGAAGTTGTTCTAATCTCATCCATGCAATGATTATACTAGGCCAGCACTTGTTAAAAGCTAAACGTTGCATTAGAGTGGGTGGGTGAGATATAGGAAATGAAACTGTTCTTCCCATTTTTTTTAAAAAAGCATAATCATCCATTCCCTTAATCATACATTCCCTCCTTACAGGGTTTTTTCCCCCTTAAATATTCCTATTATGACAAAACTGTCCATTAGAATTCATAGCAAATTAAATAGGTATTTAAAATATTTATTTTAAAATGGAAACGAACAATCTTAATTAATGAACATAAAAATTGCTACACACAAACAGGCTGGCAACTGACAGGTTCCACTTTTGTGCAGGCAGAGGGAAAGTAGGGTGAAATAGACCCAATGCCTGGTCACTGGATCACCAAGTAGCAATTGCACTGCATTTGGGCTGCCTTGGTTGGGTGTGATGGTGGAGCTGCGTCACTGGGTGCTACACTGGTAGCAGCAGAGAACTTTAGATTGCCATGTAATTATGCTTAGCATGGCTGCATAAAGGCAAGCAGAGGGATAGTGTTGACTGATGCTATGAAATGTATTCTCACCATGCATTCAGCTGTAATACAAAAACAGTTATATACACAGGAGTGTTCCTCTACACACACCTGTATTTGTAGAAGACCAGAAGACCAAGGAGGAAGTCTTCTAAACAGCAGACCCTAGAATATTTTTAATGCACGAATCATAAATGGTTATAATGGTTATAAATGTGCAGAAGTTCTGGAGACAGCACCAGAGAAAAGGAAATGTGTTTAATTATTTTATTTTGATATCTAAGTTACAACCAAAACTCAAAGTAATCCATTTAAAACCAGGCTGAAAGAAAAGGAAAGCATGTATCTGGTTAACAATATTAGGGCACAAACTAATGGTCATTAAAACTCATGGATAGAAGAACATTTTCTCATAATTGAGAGATAAAAGGTTAATAATAGATTCTAGTGATATATGATCACCAGTTGTGCCCAAACCTAGTTTCAAAGTAAAATAAAACATAAACATAATGGGCATACAGTAATAAATGCTCTTTTTCAGATAACAGAAGATAACAGCATATGACTTATATTTAACAACACAAGTCTGACAAGATTTTAGTTTTTAAAAATCCCTTCAAAGGAAACTATTTTTA